GTCTCCCTGTCTCCCTGTCTCCCTGTCTGTCTCCCAGTGTAAAGCAGAGCTGTTCTCCAAGGTTTTTCCTCCTGATTTTCATCATTTAGATCTGAGTGATAAACTCTGATCTCAGCCTAAAGTCTGTGTTTCTCCCAGAGCATCCAGCAGACCGCCTCGCCACCAGAGGCCTGAAGCAGGCGGTCAGGGAGCCTTTTATCGCCCTGCTGCAGCCTGCAGGTTTATAGCCTGCAAGCCCCCCCATCACCAATGAACACCCCCCCACTGGAAGCATCAGGTTGGGTGTCTGGGTGCCCGGATGTAGGAGGGGCTTGATCTTCTCCCCTGTTCAGCCGGACATGGATCAGCTATTCAGGGCACAGTGAGGGCGGGGTCACAGTGAGGGCGGGGTCACAGTGAGGGCGGGGTCACAGTGAGGGCGGGGTCAGCCTCAGGGAGGAACAGACGGCCCCCCCACCCCGCCTCTCTGACCAGAGATCTGTATTTTAGTTGTTTTTTGGTCATAGTAACATCCCTTTATGCTGATTTTATAGCAGCAGAACTTCCTGCTTCCTTTGGCTGGAAGTTGATCCCGTTTCTTCATCCTTCCTCTTCTGGATTCTTCCCTCAGTTTTCCTCCATTTAGAAATAAAATCTAAACTAACTAATAAAATAAAATCGAAACTATAATCACCTCCTTTGCTCGGGCTGCTTGGCTTCATGCACTGCTAAAACAATCCAGAAATAAGGAAACATTTCTTAAATCAAGTGTATTAACCTTTAATTTGAGCAGATAAATAATAGAATGACATTTTACTCTTAGAATAAGATAATTAGATAATATTAAGACAAAAACAAATAAGACAATGCAATAGTTTTTTCTTATTTGAAATGTAAGTTGTATTGTTCTATTGGCAAAGTGTCTCACTTTCCTCCTCAATTCTAGAAAACAATGAATAGATTTTAGATTTCTTTCTCTTTTTTTTGCAGCGTGCCAGGAGCCTGGGAGCCCTAGGTGTGATTGGCCTGCCCTGGCCCCAGAACCCTAAAAGTTCAGGATACTAAATCTGGAATCCTGTGAGCCGCAGTGGGAGGGGCCTGGATGCCCCGTTTAAAGTGTGTCTGAACCTTGTCTTGATGTCTAGTCTCTCTGTTGGGGTGCACACGGATTGACCACTCCTTTGGGCTTTTCTTTCTGCAGCGGATAATTGGAGGGAAAGCTAATCAAACATGGTAAGATGAATTAACTTTAGCTGATCTGAGGAGTTCATCTCTAATCCAGGCTGTTTGAAACGCAAAGCGAAATGATGAAGAAATGAGAATATGATGGATTAATAATCCTGTGGCTTTTCTTCTGCTGGAGGCAGCAGGATGTTTATCTTTGTATTTAATTCACTTTGCTTTCATGATCAAACTGAACCTAAAGCTTCTAGTTCTCTGATTTCTGTTCTTTAAACAGAGAAAGTTTCAGTCCTTTATCCTTTAGGTCTTAATGCTGAACGCTGATGAGCAGCAGGATGGAGGGTCAGCTGGGAAAGTGCAGATTCTGCTTAGGAATCAGATTCCAG